AGGTGGGGAAGCGTAAAAATCCAGTTCTCTACATGTCTGTGCAGAAACATGAGCACTTAGGGCAGACATGCACACAAGAGGAGCTGCACTCATGTGCTTGTGTACACACGTGTGTCTCTGTGCCTGTGTTATGTGTCGTGTGCATGCGGGGATTAAGTTGGGGTTAGGGTGTCGCCACAGCTACCTTTCTGACAGATGGCTCTGTAGCCAGGCTGGGGGCTGCAAGGGGACAAGGTGGGGAAGCGGATAAATCCAGTTCTCTACATGTCTGTGCAGAAACATGAGCACTTAGGGCAGACATGCACACAAGAGGAGCTGCACTCATGTGCTTGTGTACACACGTGTGTCTCTGTGCCTGTGTTATGTGTCATGTGTGCATGCATGTGCCCGTGTGCTTGTATACATCTCTGTGCTTGTGTGTGCACATGTCTGAAGCGTGTATGTGTGTGGGACAATGTGACAGTTTCTGAGAGTCAATCCCCCTCATACGAGCTGAGGCAGTTTTGGGAGCTAAGACATGGTTCACATGTGCCCCAAACGTGCAAGCACGACCCGCTCTCATCTCCCGCCCGCACACATGTGTACACACGCACGGCCTGCGGAGCCAGGGTGGCCTCGCAGTTCATCTGAGAGTCTCTCTCCTTTAATCCATTGGAGCAGCTCTGGGTGGGATGGGAGGGAAGACTCCCAGGAGGACAGACATGTTCAGATGACGGCCGCCATTCCTGGACCCTGGAGAGGCTGCCCCAGCCTCGGGAAAGAGCTGAATCCGAAGGCCTGGTTACTAGCTGTGTGACTGGGCCCGTCACACCTCCCTGAGCATTCCCTTTCTCATCTGTAAAATGGGCTTAATGGGGATACTTCAAAGGGGTTCGGGGAAGCAAGAGAATAAAAATGTGAAAGTGCTTTGCAGGCCGTAAAGTTATGCCCAGGTGTAAGGAATGATGGCATAATTAATGGTCGCCAGGCCAGGCCCAGGATACTGTTTCTGAGCACCTAGCCTGGTGCCAGCAGCTCCACCATAAAAACCACTTCATCGGCTGAGCCCGGGCCTCGGGGGCCTCCTGCGAGACTGTCGATAAGCTTCCCGTAGAGGAGGGAACCAGGACTTCCTCAGCACATTCTAAGTTCTGGGTGTGTAAGTCTCCCCCACAGTCGTTGGGTGTGTACTATGATCCCCATTTTGCAGACAAGGAACAAGAGGCTCAGAGGGGTCGAGTCATTTGCCCAAGGTCACTCAGCTGGCAGGTGGGAGGGCGGGGACTTTGGCCTCATGCCCCAGCTCCTCGGTCCAGCTCAGGTGGGTCTCAGGGGTGGGAACCTGGTGCTGCCCTTGTGAGTACACCCGTGACCCTCGTGCCCCCCGCCCACTCAGGGGCCCAGGCCTGTGTGACGCTGACGAACAGGACCGGCTTCCTGTGCCATGACCGGAGGAGCTGCATCTCGGCCAGCGGGGTCTGTGACGGCGTCCGCACCTGTCCCCACGGCGAGGACGAGGAGGAGGCCTTGTGCCGTGAGTACCTGCTCAGTCCCGCCCCTGCCCTGGGTGGGCCTTCCGGGGCCCTTTGGGTGTTGCCCCCCAGTTACATCCATCCCTGCAGCCCAAATGAGGCTCAATTGTCCCTGAAATTACCAGGCACCTTTGTGTCCTCAGGCCTTCGCTTCTATGGCGCTCAGCCAGGAACACCTGCCCCCACCCGCACCCATAAGTAGGTGCCCCTTAGGGAAGGCCTTCATTCTGTGTGTCTCCGTGCCCAGAGAACCTGTGTTCAAACTTCATGGCAGAGTTCAAGTGTTACTTCCACCAGGAAGCCTTCCCTGACTCTCAAACCTGGTTCAGGTCCCTGCTTTGGCTCCCACAGCCCCTGTGCTTCCCTGGTCCCAGCCCTGGTCACCTTGGTTGACACTTTCTATTGGCCTTTTTTCCGGGACCATCAGACTGTAAACTCCTCGAGGGCAGGCCTAGTCTGCTTGATTTGGGGGCCAGGACACAGAGGGGTGTTCGGAATGATTTGCTGAATGAGTGATAGAATGAAAGAGTGAATGAATGAATGGGAAGGTCTTGTCCCAGACCTTCAAGCCCTGATAATGAATTCTCAGGAGAGAGAGGCCAGGGCGCTTTCCATGTAGGAGGGAAAGAACTTGGTAAGTTGATGAGAGTGGAGGAGGGGAGCTATCAAGGGGAGGGACATTACATCATAAACCTAGATGAGATCTTAAAAGTCATCTAGTTATGTCCCAGCTCATGCCCAAATCCCCTCTGTAACAAACCCAGCAGAGGCCACTTGCACACTCCTGGGATGGGGAGTTCCCTGCAATTTGAGGCAGCTGCTCCCATCATTGCATGTTTTCTCATGGGATTGTCTCCCACCGGCATCCTTGATTGGTTCCAACTCTGGCCTCTCATCAACACCCCCCCACCCCCCCCAACGAACCACATCTTGATCCATCTCCATGATGGTGGCACTGCATGAATTCGGAGAGTGCATTCCCCACCCCCAGATCAGTGTCCCCTTCCCTGGGCCACACTCTGAACTCCCAGTCACCCCCCTTGCAAGCGGTCTTCCCCACTCTACCAGCACTCCCCAGAACACATACCAACTGCCCACCACCCTCTCCTTGGACAGCTCCACGACACGCATGATACTTCTGACTGGCTCTGGCTAGTCCAAGGAGCAAAGGCTTTCCCCTCCCAAGTCTGGGTTATACCTCCAGTGATGTGGCCTGAGTCTGTGTTAACTTTTGGAAGCTGTGCCACACTGCTGCCTAACACAGAATCCACTTCAAGAAAGGTGCTCGGACTCCCTCTCACAAGGTACGGGCACTCACAGCCTCTGAGTGCTGGGACCCAAGTGCAAGACTTCACGTTTGCTTTTGTTATGTTCCGGTGGGAGAAGGCTTCCTGGGGGTAAAGGAAGTGGCATGGACTTGAAGTAGATGGTTTTGGGTGGGTGTCAAGGAGGACATTTCTAGAGGAGGGAAAGGGCAGGCAATGGTATAGGTGCGGACGCATGTGTGCTGAGTAGGGAATGAGGAAGGGAGAGGCAACCCTCTGGGCATCTTGTTAGATATACAGGGAACGGACATGTCTCTCCTTTTGACTCAACCTCCTTCCTCTCCAGGAAAGCCTTTTCCTCATGCCTTTCCTGGGACAGATGCATGGTAACCCTGAGTTTGGCAACTGCCCAAGTGGCTTGAACAGTCCACCTCCATATAGCCCCCACGAACCTCATCTTAATCAGAGACAGCTGTGGCCAGATGAGGACTTCCTCTTCCCTCATCTGTCCTCTGTAGGAGATGTGCCCCAGAGTCTGCCCAGCTTCCTTGTGGCCCACTGTGGAAACCCAGCTTCCTGGATCTACTCAGACCAAAAGTGTGATGGAACCAACAACTGTGGGGACTGCTCGGATGAACTGAGCCCAGGTGGGGGGTCTGGGCACGGGCTGGGCTGGGGCAGGTGGCCAGGCAGCGACCAGCGAGCAGAGGTTGACCAGGGAATCTCTGAGGTTCCCCCTGCACCTCCTCCTTGCATTCTAGAAAGATGGGAAATAAGGGATATAGCCAACCCATGTCGGATGGATGGGGCTCTGGGGAGCTATGGCACGTGTCAGAGCTAGGGGACCCCGGGGCAGTCCAGGGCACTACAGCTGCTCTTTTGTCGGCTCTTGTCCCTCCAGTGACTGCATGCCCGCCCTGCGGCCCTGGGTGGTGGCGCTGCCCCTCCACTGTCTTCACGTACTGCGACTGTATCCCGAGGAGCCTCTGCCGGGACCGTGTGCAGCACTGCTCCGACTGGTCTGACGAGCACTCCTGTCCTGGGCCCTGAGTGGCACCAGGCCCGAGCAGGACGCTGGTTGAATGGCACTGGTAATCCTTCACATGAGCATCGAATCGAAGAACATGAGGGCAGGAAGGAGCCATCAAGATCACCTAGTGCAGTGGTCGGCAAACTGCAGCTCAGGGAAACTGCAGCTCGCGAGCCACATGAGGCTCTTTGGCCCCTTGGGTGTGGCTCTTCCACAAAATACCGACTTCTGCGCATAGGCCATGAAGTTTCCATTGCACTGTATGTGCACGCCCGCATGTGGTATTTTGTGGAAGAGCCACATGGAAGGGGCCAAAGAGCCGCATGTGGGATCTACACACTATTGTCTCTGAATAAGACTTGCCTCTCCGGCTTTCAAGATGTTCACCCGCTCCTTGCATGCCTCCAGGGACAGGGAGCTCACTATCATGTTAGGCAGCTCCTAACACAAATGAGGAGAATCTGCTTCCATGATTTTAGGCTGCCTGTGGGGCCGCGCAGAGGAGATCTGCTCTGTTCCAAGACAGACTTGCAGATCCTGACCTTACTGCCCCTTAGAGAAAAGACAGGCCTGAGGCTCACACACCAAGCTGAGGAATGTAGGCCTTATGTGGAGTGTATGCCATTTCCTGTGGTACCTGAGGCAGGTATTGCTGGGCTTGGCTACAGCCTTACATTTTCCTCATTGCAGTAATCCTCGTAGGCCCTGCTGGCTGATCACGTGAAATTCAACCAGGGGGCTCTGAGCTATAGAGTAGGAGGAATGGAGAAAGAGGAGCCCTTCTGTCCATTCCATTCTTCACCCTACCACTCCCCTCCCTCCACCCCGTGACCAGTACCAGGCATACAGCCCCGGGCTCTTGTAATAAGGAGTGTATTTTGACCCCAGAGCCTGAGTGAAGGAGTTCTTTCTCTGCAGAGATTTCCAGCTTCCCAGCTTCCCCACACCCAGACAGACAAGGATGGATGCTCCCATTAAGCAGATGAGGAAACTGAGGCCCAGTGGGAGAAATTACTTGCCTGGGATCATACAATAAAGTCAGTGGGACTCTCACATAGTCTATGGTGTCCCAACCCTGAAACCTTTCCTGCTATCAATATAATTATCTCTTGGCTTGTGGGCCAAGGGGGTGGGGATGTGCAGAGTCCCTATGGGGTATTTTTTAAATGAGCTTGAGGGTCAGAAAGTGTCCCAACCTTATTCTGAAAGAGAGACTTGAAATCTGGCCAACAAGAGGGTTCCTGTTGAGGGAGACAGACATATCCCATGGAAATTAATAAAATCAGTTTTATTTAATATCAGTCTCATGTGAGTTTTGAACTGAAAATGGGCACCTGAGAGACAGATGAGCTCTGCCTCATTCATCACTCACCGAAGAGTCCCTCTGCACCTGCCCTGGGCCAGGCTGAGTGCCAGGCACCCAGAAGTGAGGACACCTGGATCCCAGCACATGAGGAGCTCGGGGTCTCATGGAGGAGGCACCTCACACCATGGAAGGATGGGGTGCAGGAAATGGTGCACTGAGGACCCACGCCTAGAGCAGGGCACCGCAGGGATCCTGCCTGAGGGGTGGTCAGCCCTGGGCCCTCGCATCTTTGGCTGAGTTTCTCTGCAACTGCAGCACAAGTGAGGAGCTGTGGGTACACTTGGGACATCCTGGGTTCTGACCACCGACCCAGAGGAGCTTCTTCCCCAGAGGAGGGCCATTTGGGCTGGTTCTGGAGGGAAGGAGAACTTCCAGTGGTACCGGTGCAAGCGAAGGGCATTCCCAGCTGAGGGACCATGTGAACGAAGGCGTGGGCATGGGCCAGTGTGTGGCTCGGCCAGGGAGTGCCAGCAGGTCAGGGCGCCATAACATCAGTGTGGTTGGTGGGATGGTAGGAGAGGAGGAGGTGAGCAGGGACATGATTCTGGAGGTCGCACTCCATCCTGAGGACCATGGCGATAAGGCATGATGAACAACACCTACCAGCGTCACAGTGACCTTCAATTACAACAGTTCAAGAAAGAGCCGCCAGGACGGGGGCCAAGTAGGCAGAGAAGAGGGCATGTCAAGGGCTACTTACTGGTGGAGCATGGAGCTCATGCCCCTTAGGGACCTACGGAGTCAGGGGGTGAAGAGGAAGAGGGGGGAGTCCAGAGGCTGAGAAGGAGCACCTGGCCTCCCGCCCTGGGCCATGCCTTCTCCAGGGGAAGAGAAGGTTGAGCTGGTCCCTGAGGAACAAGAAGCTTGTTCGGCATTCAAATGCCAACACGTTGCTGACACCCTGAGCACCGGTTGTTGAAAACAAGGTCACTGGGGACAGACCACGGGAACATGAGCCTGCGCTGCTCATACCAGGCAGCCTTGCTGGTTCACGCAGCAGGAGAGCACCCAGGTCCTGGCGGGGGCTGGCGGTGCATCAGTTGGGCCCCATGGAAAGGGACAGGTGGACCTTGGTGGTCTCTAGTCCTAGGCCTCTTCGGTGGCCTGTGGCTCTTCCCAGAGGCATCAGCGTCACGGCTGCACATCATTTTGCCCGCCCCTCCCGACCAAGCCCTCCATAGTCCCTGGGGGAGTTCCATTTCACAGGAGGGCGAAACCAAGGCTGAAACCAACTTGTCCAAGTCCACTCAGCGTGTCAGTAGCAGGGTGAGGACTACACACCAGGTTTCTTTTCTTTTTTAAAATTTAACTAAAGCTATCAGGTGACATTGGTTAATAACATTATGTAAGCTTCAGATGTACAGTTCTATCACACAACATCTAGATATTGCATCGTGTGCTTAGCACCCACAGCCTAGTTTATTTCGTCACCGTATATCTGACCCCTTTACCTTCTTCATCCTCCCCCCACTCCCTTCCCCTCTGGTAACCACCATACTGTTATCTGTGTCTACAAGTTTGGGTGTTTATTGTGCTTGTTTATTGCTTTCTGTTTTATATCCCACAAGTGAAATCATATGGTTCTTGTCCTTTGCTGTCTCATTTATTTTGCTTAGCATAATACTCTCAAGATCCAAGCTGTCACAACCTGGCAGGAGCCAGGTTTCTAGGTGTGCACATTAGCGCTTGCCGAGCGCTTGCTGCGAGCCAGGCACTGTGCTAAGAGCTGTACCTCTCATCCTCCCTAAAGCACTCTGAGGGAGGTACTGGTTGTTGTTGTTTTTTTAATATACATATTTTTATTGATTTCGGAGAGGAAGAGAGATAGAAACATTAATGATGAGAGAGAATAATCAACTGGCTGCCTCCTGCATGCCCCCTACTGGGGATTGAGCCCTCAACCTGGACATGTGCCCTGACCGGGAATTGAACCATGACCTCCTGGTTCATAGGTTGACGCTCAACCACTGAGCCACACCGGACAGGCGGGAGGTATTGTTTTAATGCAAGGCTTAGACAGGCCAGGCAGCTGGTTGCAGGGCATATGACCTGTGGGGCTCAGAGCCAGGTAAGTGAGCACTTAGCTGTGGTGGGTCACTGTTTTATGTTATGTCTCGAGGTCTGGCAGCTTCCAGTGGCGATGATGCCTGAGCAGGGCCGTGATGGAGCCAGGTGGGAAGCAGGGACAGGGCAGTCCCGGCTGAGGTGTGAAGCAGTTCCCTGTGCTGGAGCTTGAGGAAGAGCCTCTGATTCAGGGCTGCAGGGAGTGAAGTTGGCTCAAGGCTGCAGGGAGCTGGGAGGAGTTCA